CCCGCTTTAGTATATGAGTGGGTCATTTAAAGGGTAAACCCAACCCAACACAATTGATCTACAGTTCATAAACACAGTTAAAGAACCAGAAGATTATTTAGTTCATGTTTGACCTCCCCTCAAGCAAAATCCAATAGTGAGTCAAAAATGCAAAACTCTCATACTACCCCGGTACATGATTTACCAATATGCAGGAATGAATATTACCTAGTTAGTGATTTAAGATTAACACAAAGCAAGTTCATTCACAGACTCACTGCTTTCTATTAGAACTTTTGGAAATATAGTTTCCCTTGAGATTGTGGGATCATATTGCAATGCATGTGACCACCGTACGTGTGTTTTCTATAATTCTATAAATCATATAAATCTTTTAAGGTATGTTCAAAGAGCAGCAGCCAATGATTTTATGAACACCTGTTCGATTATGATAATCAATTGCATATTACAAAATCAACACTGATCATTTATTGAAGCAACCGCAGAAGTCAAAATTTATTTATTGTACGAGTTTCACCCATTGCATTCTCAGAACACAGTTATGAGTTGATGACGTCATGGGATAATATTGTCTATTTCTTACATACACAGGTTCTGTACAAGAAATCCAAAGAGCACTCTGACATACCTGATATGATTGGTGGATCCTCAAAACGAAAAATTGATTCAGATTCCGAGGCCAGTACATCTAAAAGTCCATTGAAAGTTACCCCAACATCAACTTCAGTCAAAATGTCTCCAGCCAAAAAACTAAAAAACAATAGTAGCGATGGAAGTGATTCAAATCTTATGGTAAGTATGAGGTAGATTTCTTCATGACTAGGTACTCTCTTGGTAAATTGTGCCTTAACCTTTCGAACATCAAAGTCAACTTAGATATCATAGATAAACATAGCACAATACAGTAACTCCTTGCTAATTTAGGCCTCAATAAGTTGTGATATCAGCAAAGTCTCCGTTAATTGACCTTATTTGAGTTCTCTCAAATGTTCCATCCAGCCATGTAAGGGCACTTTTTGAGGCTTGATTCAAACTATTTGTAATTTTAGTACAGTGGGGTCAGGAATCAATATGGGAACTACATTAATGTGCGTGAATTGCATCATCAATTAAAAACTCATTCATTTGACACAATTTTGCACAAACCACCTAAAAATAAAAGTACGATGTCAGGACTCTGTCACATTTTGTGAAAATATTTCGCTATATATTGTTCTCTGAGTGTGTACTGTACAAGAATACATTTATATGTAAAGATAAATAAACAGTTGTGTCACTATAAAACAGTAATTCCTATTTTTGAGAGAAATACAAAAACAAGAATATACAATCACTCTGATGCCGGAATGTGTTGATGTAACTCTCAGTTTGTGAGAAGTAATCTGAAATCTAATACAAAATTAAGTAAATAAATTAGAAAATGAAAATGTAATTGTGAATTACTACTAGTACTTGACAAAGTATTTTGGTATTTGACACTGATAAAACCGATGTTAGTGATGAAAACAATCAAGAAAACATGGCTGCTTGTTAATTATGCCCAGTGTTTGGTGTAAAGTTGAAGCCTCAACATCGGTGAGGTGATTGGTGAATAATCAAACCTTAGCTGGGGAAGATGCTGCAGCAAATGTATACATTTAAAAAATATTTATGTAATGACAAGAATTGTAAAATGTTGTGAACTCTCATTTGTAAATAGTAAAATATAATTTTCTAGTTTAAAATAAAATATTTGATTATGAACATTTAGTGTGGAATTTTACAGAACTGCCAAGGGTATGTTAAGTAAGTTTCTCTATTGCACCCAGTGTGAATTGATCAACCAGAAGTATAGTGATTCCTCTTCATGCGCCCTCTTATGGTGGAAATGGATTAACTTTCTTCTTTGCAAAGAACTCAAATATCAAATATCAATTAGTTTCCAAAAAAAACCATTTTAAGCGATAGCTTTGAAAGAAAATAGCTAATGATTTGTTTCTTTTTCGTATTTAATTAGCTGTTAAAGAATCAATATGAGACTATCGGTGTCATTACTTTTTCGGTCCGTGTTGATGTTGAAAATTAAACACTCATTGCCCTGTCAATTACTAGGAAATAAAAGGTATCTGCAAGTTGTCAACTTAAGAATTTACAAGTTTCTCAACCAGTAATGCTTAAACCATGGAAGGTACTAACGTTAGTACCTTCCATGCTTAAACGAAAGTTTATAAAACTCACTGCAATGTGAAAAATCTATCATTCTGGTCTTGGCTTATATAGCATACTGTGAAATACTTTATTTTAGCTAGAATTAATTTTCGCTGAAAAGACTTTATTGGTGTTTTTGTAAGGAATTTATTTTCACTGATTTTTGACAAATTGAATATAAAGTCTAGGAAAAAGGTATATTCGCTGTATTTTTTTATCACTGAATCATTCCTTCAGCAAAAATAGCGAAAATTAATTCCAGTGTGTCTGTCTTTGATGAGTCACAACCCTTGATAAGTCACTATTTTTTCTGCTTGGATCCTGACACCTGCAATTTTGTGTCACCTGCAAGATTCTTATCAAGACTATTGATTGAAAAATTATGTCCATTTGGAATGAAATTATAAAAGAAATGTACAAAATGTTACAGCTTTGGTAGGAAAAAATATGGCATTCAGAGGGTTATTTATCTACGTGTAACCATAGCAACAATTATATTTTCAAAAGTATTTTTGTCTGTATCTGTTATCACTGACAGAACACAAACCTGAAAACAACGCATCAAAAAAAAAAAAAACATCTTATTTGCTCTAGGCTAATAGAAGCTCTTACATGTTTATTTAATAGTAAGCATAAATGGTTCATTAGTTGCGTTCACGCACAGCTCCTTAGCACGGGCTAAGAGGTCAAATTCCTTAGCCCGTGCTAAGCAAACGTGCGTGAACGCTTAGCACGGGCTAAGGAATGCTAAGTACGGGTTAAATCTGATCCGAATTTAAGATGCGGTCTAGACCCTTAGCACGGGCTAACGAAGTGTGCGTGAACACTTAGCCCAGGGCTAAGCGCCATCTGCAGCGACCTTTGGGTGTGAACATTATGCACGTGATCAAATATATCCAACTTTCTCATTCCCAAAATGGCAACCGAGCTCAGTGTACACGCTTCCATACTGATCGCGTCACTGTAGTAGAGCGTACAGCAGCTCCAATCGTAGAAAAAATAAATTTGGTTCGCTGTCAACGACATGCATTAATAAAACTCTGTATTGTGTTACGTCGTTGTATACTGTTTCTGTGCATCCAAATAAGTTGGGTTCGTCTTCTCTCGCGTTCCTGTGCATGTCGCTTCAAAATTAGAACGCAACATATCAGCAGCAGAAATAGAACCTCGCGCTTGTCATCCATTTTTCGTTCGTAAATAGTGGCTTGCCAAAGGTCACCGACTGATGGTGCCCCTTAGCCCGTGCTAACGACTGGCCCTCCCTGTGCGTGGACGCAATAGGGTCTAGCCGAAATGCAAATATGCTAGATAAGCCTAAATCAGCTTAAATCTTAGCCCGTACTTCGTGTAACGTGAACACAACTATTGTGTCCTTAAAATCTCACTAAATCAACTTGTGGACATGTGCTGCTAATAAACCATTAAGAGCTGCATGTTTTATATGACCTCCTTTCCCCAATTTAATGTTCTACCAGATTAGTTTTTTTTAATCTATACATCTTATTGCCTGTGTATTGTTTAATGCAAACATCCCTCGTCTTAGGATTGTTGTCACCAAATGAAAAGTAAATTTTAGTAATTCACAAAACATAACGTGATAACAGTGTCGATATATTTTTTAACTAGCAGTCCAACCTAGTCTAGAGTGTATTTCCCATAAAGTGATGAAATTTGGAAACAAAGCATGCACAGCCATCTTGGCGGTAGAAATATCCTCATGGACGTTCAACGTTGCTAAGACGTGCACCACTGTACCACGTATTTCTATGGGCTTTGTGCGCGCTGCTGTAGAACGCCGGTGGAGCCGGTAAAAACTCGAGAAAACAACACAAACTCAACTTTGAAGTAATCCTGAACAACCAAATTCATATATGTTACACACGTAGGGCTAATTTTGTTACACTGTTCAGGGGACTCTCAACAACCATTGCAAAGTACCGTTTTCTGCGAGTTTTTGGTCTTTGTTTTCACCGCCAGGGTTGCCAGGCGATAGAAAATGCCCGGATGTCCGCCCCCGAGGATAGACTTGTAGGTTCAAGATGCTGTTAATCCATGCTGTATGACAACTGGTGCTTTAAATCTTAATTCATAGTGGACATGGTTGCCAAGCAATTCAGATATGGTTACCAAACAACCCGATATGGTTGCTAATCAGCAAAGACAGGGTTGTAAAGCGAGCTGATCACAATAGGAACATTAACAATTCAGCAACAGATAACCATGAATAAATACTACCAGTATACTATCTGAAATACTTGATATGTTGCTCACATGATATAATAAACATTTTCACTGACTTTTATTTTTAAAGAAACCTGTGTGTAAATATGGTGCAGACTGTTACCAGAAAAATCCTAAACATATGGCTGCTTTTGATCACTCACCAAAGAAAGGATTCTCTGCTGCATCATCACCAGTCAAAGCACCACCAGCAATCACGCCATTAGTTAAGGTAAGATTTGAAACCCTTACTTGGTTTTGTTTTTATTTCAAACATTCAAATACTGCTGTCTGACTTCACACAGGATACTCAGCACCAAAAATTGTATTTTTTAGAGGGTGGATGCTTAGTGGAGCACCCCATTGAAAAATTATCCAAATGACAATTTTCTTGCACCTTGTGCCAGGAGAATACACTACCTTTCTATGCAAATTTTATTAGTCCCCGTTCGGACGCAGTCCGAAAACGGGGACTTATGTTTTGACCTCCGTGTGTCCGTGCGTGCGTGCATCTGTGCGTGCGTCCGGACCTGTATCTTAGAAATGCCTGGACCAATCACAATCAAACTTCACACATACATCATACATGATATTATACATATGCACGTCAATTTGTTTCACGATCTG